TCTCTAGGGGTCTTTATGTTTGTTCCTTCTCTTGTTTGTCGCTGTGGTTGTTGTGGAACTTGTGTTCGTTCCTGTCACTGTCCATCTTTTACAGGTTGATTCGTCGGTTGTTCAGTAACTTCGGTGTAGTTCTTTGTCGTTGGCGTCGAAGTTCGTTTCAGTTCACCCCTTCTGCGGATTTCATTCGGTCTCCACAACATGTATGACCCTCGAGGCAATAACGAGAAGGTCCCCGCGGAGTCCTCCTCGGCAACGGGGAAAAGGGCGGAGGGTAGTAGAAAAGGTCACAAGACGAAGACCTTTGACTCCCCTTTTAAGGTGGATCCAAAGGCGGATGGAAAACGAGATGATCCTGTTTGRCATTTCGTTGCTCGTGGTCGTTATTTAGATGGATCCACTGCGATCGGGAGGAAGAACGGTCGTCGTTGTTTGTGCAGGTTATGCAGTCGTTCTCTATGTGGGGGTGCTCGTGAGGCGAAGGAACACTTTTTTCGTGGCGAGGGGTATAAATGCCAAGTGGCCACTCCGGCGGTGTGGCACGCGATTTGGTCAAAGGATATGTCCAAGTGTCCTGCACATTTGGCTTCTGCCGTGCAGGCCTTGCAGAGTCTCCCTCTAGGTCATCCCTCTTTTCAATGGCCACCTCTTCGTTTTCCCGATGACGTCGTTCCGCCGCCCCCGTCGACCGCTGCCCCCTCGCAAGTGGCGCCATCTCCATGTGCACCACTTGCTCCCCTCCCCCCTCGTCCGCTTCGTCAGACGATTCCCGCATCCGTTGATGGCAGGCCATCTGTGGCAACGCAGCCTAATGCGCAAGGCACCGTGCCAGTTTCAGGTGTCGGGGAACCTGTGCCGTTCGACGAGCAAGGCACTCGTGCTTTCGTCGAGGGCGGTGGGTGGGGGAAGGACGCTGGCACATCATCAGGCCTCGCCCCGTTGTTCACTAGCAACAGGGACAAGGTCCCAAGAGTTCGACGCACAGACACACGTCTGGACGTGGCAGGAGCACCCGCAACAGGACATCAATCCGCTGCGTATCCATGGTTGCCTCCCCCTCCTTCACAAACACGACGGCCTACACCAGACTTGACTTCGGCACCTGTTGGCGAGGCCGCTGCAACGACCACTTAGGGTGCGGGAAACGTCCAGCTCGACGAGCCCGTCCAGGTTTCGGATTCATCACCCACTCCAGTGCCTGTGAACGGCCCGACCTCGCAGCACGGTGTTTTTGGGACACTGGATCCTTTACAGAATCCGCGCAACATTGCAGCTCCGAGTCCAGGCCCCACCGCATCACCTGCGGCCGGGGGCGGGGTGTGGGATTCGCTAGGTATGGGCGCCGGTGCACGAGTGAGGGGCACTTACAAGCAGCAGGCGGTGACCTCGTATTACAACGACCCGCTGGAGCACGCATGTCACCTGCAGATCATGCGATTCATTGTCGAGAGCGGCATGTCGTTCAACTGTGTGAAGCTTGAGAGCTTCAAACGCATGTTGACGTTGATCATCCCGCCTGGGGTTCCAGGAGTCCCCACCCCAAAACCCCCAACGTATCACATGATCCGTACCACACTTTTGGATGAGCTTGATGTGGAAGTCCAAAAGTGTGTGAAACCCCTCGCTACTACAGCTACCTACGGTTGCACGATAATGACAGACGGTTGGACCAACATTCGGGGCCAAACGTTGTGCAACTATCTCGTCGGCACTACACGCGGCGCCACATACGTCGCGACAGATGTTATGGGAGGAAAGAAGGATGCCACTGCTCTGGCGCAGGCTTGGCTGCGAAGGTTGAAGTCCCTTGACATCAAGCTCGCCGACATCACCGCTTTCGTCACAGACTCTGCCAGTTCGAACGTTTCTGCGATGGAGGTGTTCCAGAAGGATGAGAGTGTCAAGCACATCTTCTGGATTCYTTGTGTGGCACACGTCATGGACCTCATCCTTGAGGACATCGGCGGCATTGACTGGGTGGCGACGTGCATTGCTCAGGCGCGTTTGGTCACAAAGTTTTTTAAGCGTCATAGCCACGCTCACGAAGTTTTGCAAGCTTTCACGACGAAGGCTCTGCTGCTTCCCGCCGAGACTCGCTTCGGTACGCATGTGATTATGATGCGACGACTTCTTCTGCTGCAATCGCATCTTATGCAGGTGGTCATTGATGATCGATGGAAGGACACTSTTTGGTCAACGAAGAAGATTCGGGACGACGCCGCGGAGGTCACAACATGTGTCGGTTGTCCTCAATGGTGGGAGGATATGAGAACGCTGTGCAAGTTGTTGGATCCCATCATGGACATGCTCCAGATGGTGGACAGCGACACGAGGCAGATTGGCAAGATTCTGCGTCGGTACGACGAGATGATTGCGCGTTGTTTGTCTGCATGTGCCGCTTTGGAGAAGGACGAGCAAGACGCGCTGCTTGAAGTGTTTGACAGACGCCGCACCATGTTCAAGTCGCCTGCTCATGTTGCTGCCATGATGTTGGACCCCGAGTTTCGAGACCGCACGATGCCAGATGACGAGGAGATGCAGCACGGTTTGAAACTCGCTCTGATTCAGTTTGGGTACCCGGAACATTCGGATCAGCACAMCGAGGTCCTCACTGCCATTGACAACTTCCATTCCAGGGAGCCGCCGTTCGACGACGTGGCCATGGACCGGGCGGCGAGGAGCTATACCCATCCAGCATGTTTCTGGGAGTCGAAGGAGAAGAGGTTCCCACACACGGCCTTCTTCGCTGGCAGGATACTGCGTTTGTGGGCGACTGCGTCGCCTTGCGAGAGAGCTTGGTCCCGTTGGAGTTTCATCCACTCCAAATCTCGTAACAGATTGGAGGTGGCGCGGGCCGAAAAGCTCGTGCGATACCATTGGAACCTTCGGCTCCTCGACAG